GCCCAGTTCCCTCCCTTTGGCTTGTGGATGGCTTGTGCTTCGTATCACAGGTCCCCACCCTGCCTCCGGGCGGCTGTGTCCAGTTTGTCGCGTGTTCGTCGTGCCAGACGGAAAACGTGGGACATTACAACTATTGTTGGTCCTGCGGTGTTCAGCCTGCCCGCGGGCGTCCGGTACCGCGTGACCCTCAAGCGGCTCGGGTGTCGACCGATTTCGACGCGCTGCGCGCTCGTGGTGATCAGGTCCTCTCGGCCGCGTCTAACCGTCTTGCTCAACAGCGCAAGTGCGCGGTAGCGGACGGGTTCGACGCTTTCATACTTTCGGCGACTGAACAACGTCGGGGTTGGAAGCAGGCGTCGGACCGAGACGTGTTTGACTATCATCTCTGCTTCTTGGACACACAAGGTAGTGGTACCAAGTGGGTGCACGACAGGGCATGCCCTGGTGTCGGCACGACTCACGGCCGCGATTGTCTTCCAAACTCGCCATGTGCTAAGCGGTATGCCGCCGCGTCCATGCAGAAAGGGATCGTGTCCAAGCTGAAGATGGCGATGCAAGAACAGTTGGGAAAAGACAGCAGCTGGGACCCTGCCACGCGCTCGGGCAACCCCTGTTGTAGTCCTCTTGTCGACTCCTACCTCGTCTTCACGGGGGAGGAACAAAAACGTGTGGGTGTCGCTGTCAACCAGGCAGAGGCTATGTTACCGCACGTCCTCATCGATCTGTTGAGGGACATGCGCTCTCGCGCGCAGACTTCGTCCTCTTTGGCGGAACGTATTGAGCTCACTCGGGACGTCGCTTTGTTTTCGCTTGCGTTCGCCTCCATGCGGCGAGGCCATGATCTCTCCTTCACTATGGGATCGCAAGTTCTGCGGTTGCCCGCGGGGCAGGGTCTGATTTTCAACTTCCAGTTTGGCAAGACCCTCCGCGACTCTGTTGATGCCGTGGTCGTGCGTCCGGACGTCCCTTGCCCGTCTATTTGTGCGGTAAGCAATGTTACGGCCTGCATCAGTGCGGCGGAGCGTATTGGCTGGGATTTGTCCCAAGGGCATCTGTTTCCTAGCGTTCTGCTGGATGGAACTCGGGGCTGCGCTCCGCTTACGGCGGTTCAGATGACGGCTGCCCTACAAGGGCATCTGCGAGCGGCGGGACTGCCGCACCGCTACACTATGCACTCGTTCCGCGTCGGAGGTTCTGTAGCGCAGTCGCTTGACGGAACGGCGATGGACGCTATCATGAAAATTGCCGGGTGGCGTACGGAGAGTGTAGCGAAGCGATATGTTGGCGCCACTACTAGTGTGGGGGCAACGGGTTCCAAGAGGATCCGTAGCGAGCTGTACGTAGACTCAAACGCGTTGCCGTTGTCGGCTGACTTCACACGCGATTTCTCTGCGTGTGCTCGCCGCGAAAAAAATAAATAAAGAAAGTTTGGGTGGGGGAGACCTAGCTTAGAGGCGTAAGTGGTCAATAACTAAGATGTGACAGATCGGATAATTAACAAGAAAGCAATGGGCGGGACCACAGGCCGGCGCAGGAGGCCTCACCCAACCAAATCCAATACTTACATTGAATGATCTGGGTAAGGGATAAGAATACAACAGTAATTTGGACTGCTCACTTGTGCTTACCAACATTTCAAGACCTCGCAAGACCCGTTACTTTGTCTATCCTCGCCGCACGCATGTCGCGCAAAGTATCAATGCGTGCATGCAGCTTTGTCGATGTGTGCGAATGCGTCGCCTACTACGCAACTTGGCACAGTATGTACAGTAGAACGATTAGATATTTATTCCGTCTCTCAACGGCGGATCAATCAATATTTATTCACATCCGCAGGCGTGGTGCTGAAGCTAAGCGTCAGAGGAATACAATGCTGAGGTTTTTTAAACCGACGATCACTACGGGCGGCGGGAAGGGGTCGAGGGACGTGATGGATAGCAGCGGTGGCGCAAGCAGTGACGTTGAGGTGGTTACGACGGGAGTTGCAGGCGAGCGTGAGGGCGGAGCAGGCGGGGGTAGCGACGCTGAGGTGGTTGCGACGGGAGTTGCAGGCAGGGGTGGAGGCGGAGCGGGCGCAAGCAGTGACGTTGAGGTGCTCTCGACGGGAGTTGCAGGCGGGCGTGAGGGCGGAACGGGCACGGGTAGTGACGGTGAGGTGGTTGCGACGGGAGTTGTGAACGGGCGTGAGGGTTGTGAGGGCGCGAGCAGCGAGATGGATGGAACTTTCTCCGACGCTGCACACGAGAGTGGTTCGACCGATATGGTGCGCGTCCAAAACCCCCTCCGCTGCGCGGGATTGCGTCCGAATGTTCAGGAGCCTCTTCTCCAACACTACCCAGCAGCTTTGCATGGTGTCGTCAAAAAGGGGCTGTCGTGGGAGGCTCGGATAGACCCGAATGGCGTGGCTCTTTACGTCGTGGAATCCGTCTCCCGCGGCATCCTGAGCCCAGGTTGTGCTGGAGCAGTGGAAGAACCAGGAGGCACGTGCGAGCCGTGTGTTGACATCAAGGGTAGTAAGGTTTACAGAGGTGAGACCAGGTAGCGAAAAAAACGCGAAATAGGAAGGCACAACTAGGAAGGCAAGACAATTTAACTGCTGTCGTACCCTCATTCCACCACACATGAACTTTTTTTTAATTGGATTGTTCCCTCTGCACCCCTTCCGTCTTGGAGCAGATCTGGTTCACGATCATCGTTGGAGCCAGAAGACTCAAGGTTGAGGCACCTTACTCTAGATTTGTTGACTCCTCACCAGCAACGAGGCAGGCTGACGCGGTGGAAGAAGAAGTTCGAAGTGCAGAAACTGTACACTTTGAACCAACTCAGGAAGTGCGCGGCTTTGCATGGTCGTGTTGCACTCGCGAAGAGTATCTTCATTTACGTGGCAGACAATGACTGACGTGAATGAATGGCATTCGAAGGTTGATGGCTCAAGCGCGGCGAGACGGCTTGTCGCTGAGTGGTATCATGCATAGGTTAGAGCAGGCGGTGAATGGCAAGTATAGTGCCAAAGGGTTCAGCGAGGATGAGTTTGACTTGGCAATGCTGGAGGGGCTTCGGGGAATAATAAGTACTATCCAAGACAAATTATTGCTATTATTTATTTGTGGATGGGTGTTGCACGTGGCGAAGGTGATTCCACCGCCGTAGGCTCATCGACAGCCCCTCTTCGGTATGTTGCCGGCTTGAGTAAGCTTGGAATGATGACGTTTCGACGCATGGGTATGTGTCATTTGGTTGTGTCCTTTCGCCACATTCGACCGAGGTCAAATGTCGTGAACTTGTCGCAGAGGCTTGCTTGGAGAAGTTCTATCTAGTTACTTGTAGCTGAGGGGTTGTCCCCAAGCACTACTACTGCTGCTGTACTTCAAGACTTGAAAACCAAATAAGAAGTGTCCCCAGCCCATCACAGCTTATTTCAGTACATGAAGTAGCAATCTACACAGTAACAAGGTCCTGCTTGCACGTCGTGCCGTAAACACCACCACACGCAAGCACACGCAATTGAGAAGGAGAAAGCCAAAAGAAAGAAAGCCTGTACGAAAATATTCCAAAAAAAAAAACTTTTTTCACACCCTTCCCGGGCGGGGGGGGGGGTAGGGTTAGGTGTCGGATAATTTTTTTTTTGTGCGCCCTTGGGGAGAAGACAAAAAAAAACTAAAATGGCGGAGTTGAGACCCCTCTCGACGACACGAGGTGTTTCAGATCTCTACATTATTAGTATCATCGTTTTCGTTTCAGTTTTGCATCCTCTTCGTCCTGGAGTAATCGAGCTTCAGGGGGTGGGTGTCTTACTCGACCTGAAGACTGCTGCTGCTGCACAATCACAGCAATGAGTGGTACACGCACTTGACCGTTTTTTTTAGACTTTCTGTGTGTAATTATTTGGGCCATTGACAAAAAGGGGTACTTACCCCGCGTATTGGGCACAAAATGGGATAATATTTTTTTCGGTGCCGGGCGCAACGCCTGACGCCGGGTAGCCGCCTTCTAGCGCTTGAACCCCATGCGCCAGGTCCTTAGAAAGGACGCCCAACTATTTTATTTGCTTTTCACCCACAGGAACAGGGTTAACTAGGGCCTGGAAAAGGGGAGCTTGTCGGAGGACCCCATTTTGTTCACGAAACCGCGGGGTACAACCCCCTGTCTGCTAAAAGTTTATATATATATCTAGTCTAGTACGTACCCCAAATTGTTCACAAACGTAACCCATACTGTTCAAGGCATACCCCTTTTTGTTCAGTCGTGCCGCTCCTGCGGACTGTCAAATGGCAACCAACAACCAACCGCAGACCACCGTAGGTGTGGCGACAGAAGATAGATGTTGGGGTATGATTATGGTGGTCTGCGGCGAGGCAAGGAGACAGACTTTCTTTGTTGCATATATATGTGCACGTACGTTTTCCGTCGGTGTGCGCTCTCTTTCTGCCGACCCCCCTTCCCACTCTAATAACCGTGGACTTGGTCAGGCAAAGGAGCGATTCCGTTTACAAACAACCCTTCGCTCTTTGACCATGACAGCGGAACACATATACCCACATTCTAAGTCATGGGCGCAAGATCTGGATCTATCTATCTACTGGAAGAAAAGGGAAAAAGGTCGCTGCGGGGGGGGGCGCAGTTAGGACTGAAGAAGACACCTACCTCCCTCAAACACAGAGGTCGGGAGTTGGTTTGTCTGTCACAGCCAACACAGAGCAGTAGCTTTTCGGTTGCCCTTCCTGTGGTCCTGTCCTCCCTCTCCTTATTTCTCCCCCTCTCTGTCGCTCCTCCTATCTCTTCTTGCCTCTGGCTGCCGCTCTCTTGGGTGTCCTTTGTGGCGAAGAGAGGGAGAGAGGGCTAAGCCAACCAGCGGAGGGAGCTACAGTAGAGCTCATAGAGTTCAGGCGGAAAAAGGGTTGTGTGTCTGCTGCTGTGTTTTGTTGCGTCGTGATACTACTTGTACATGTGGAGGTACATTGAACCAGCAGCAGCAGACAAGAACGGTTTCGCCTTCCTAGATGCCTCCTCCTCTTCAGCATGCTCAGGGATTTCAAGATAAGGATGCCCGGGCTTCTGCAGGAAATGCTGGTGGAGGAGCTCGACCCAGCGATGTTTCAGTCCCAGCAGGTGTGTTGAAAACGTTTGCCACTGCTGCTGTTGCGCTTCGGCTACTGGTGTAGGCAGACCTCTGCTTTTTCTCTCTTGTTTTTCTCCAAAGTACTCCTCATCTTCCTGCTGCTGTTGTAGGCCGATTCCTCTTGACGGGCGCACGCAAGCCTGTAGGTCGGTGTTCAGTGAACTTCCTTGCTTGTAGTCAGCTCTGGTTGACCTTTTGAAGCACTGGCTGGGGCCCAAAAGCCTCGCAAAACAGGTCTACATGTAGGATCGAGCCGATAAGCCGTCGGTCAGCAAGTGCATGTCGGCGGAATTTGCAGCTGGAAGTTTGGAAGTTCGCGTTTGGCGTGTATTTCAGCCAAATGCCGGCGTATCTGTCTGCGTACTCTGTAGTTGCGGTCGCCTTTGCGATATGTATACTGCTGTTGCGCACTGCTGTTGCGCATACATGTACGAATCTAGTTTTCAGAAGAGAACCACGTCCGACGGGGCTTCGGATGTACCGATTACCGATACATACAAGTATGCTATGCATATTCTACCCGCTCTATGTATCGTAACAATCTTCTTTGGTACGGCGGTACCTATTTTTGAGTTACCGCCACCACGGCAACTGCGGACACTGCTGCACTCGCTGGCGTGGCTCGGCTGTTACTCCCTCACGAGCGTGGGTACAGCAGTAGTCATGCATGCAGCACATCGAACCACCTTCACCTACCTTTAATAGTACTGCTGCACTACTATCGGTATCGTTCAGCAGGTTATCAACACGATTGTGGGGAAGAATATGTATGCTGTGGGTCGGGGTACAGCAGTATGTATGCAGCATGTGTTCAAATAGTGTTGTACGGCCAGGGACACAGATACAATGATGTCCGCGCGCACTATCCAACTCGATGAGATGCTATTCGCTCGCTGTGTGTTCCCAGGGTGCAGCTGCGCCAGATAGGGACCATGCAGCACGACCGCTATTTATTGTAGTAGCCCGCAACGCTTCGACGATTCGAGCAGCGAACGCATTTATGCTGAAAGCAGGATACTGTGTGTGTACCCCGAGAGAGATAGTGCCGGGCGAGCCCGCAAAGGTCGCGAGGGAGTTTGTGATGGTGCAGACCAGGCCGGTATCGATCATCTCAATGACGATGGCGATGGCGATGGTGATGCCACACCTTGTGTTCCCAAATACACCGCGTGTTCGGGAGCGGGTGAAGCTTCTCTGCACTCCCATTCGCCATGACTGCGCCTGTCACTGCTGCCACTGCTGTCACTGCTGCTGTACAATACAACAGCTGTGTTTTCTCTCTCTCCAAGTACTGCTTCCATGTATCATGGTGATTCGGGATGCGAAGCAACAGCAACAACTAACTCTCTTCGGATTTCAGATACAATTGTACGATGGCGCAGGGTGTCCTCCGTCCGAGGTATCGTCGAGACGATTCCAACACTGCTGTCAGACGTACACCAGTACGAGTCATGACTTTGGTTGTTGGCGCTACCTCTCGGGGGCTGCTTTCTAGCTGCGTTGCTTTAAATAAATATGCTCACCATAGTGGGCTCGGCGAAGGTACGGTAGTATCATACTTCCAAGCGACTCCGCGGATGATGTTCGACAGTTCTTAGAGAAGGGGGGATGGGCGCGGACGTACTCAAACTTGTAGACCATCTTGAGTCAGTCAACGCCCGGCTTCGGCTTGGTTGTTCCGACACGATTCGCCGTTTCGACTTCCCTCCTGTCGTGCTCCTGTCATGTCCTCCTTTTTCAGGAGGCAACGGGACCAACGCTGCTGCTGCCGTCTATGCCAAGCCCCTAACCGAGAAGGAAATGTTGGCTGCCGACGAAGCCAAGGACAAACTGGATAGGATGGTCAAGGTACAGTACGTGGTTGTTTGGTGTCTAACGCGGCACGTGTTTCCCCCATGTCTTCCACTACCAGCATGTTGAGAGAGCTCTTCTACTTTTATAAGGCATCGGCGCTGGTTGCCGCCTGTGGATTCCGTGTGTCCTACACGCGTGGACCGATCGAAGTTGGGAATATACCGCGAGCGCGGTGAGAGACGGCCGTGGGGAATGGATCAAGGGAAGTCGGCACTGCTGATCGCCGTGTCGTTTTTGGCGAATGCACCACCGTTTTAGGAGTCTGTCTACCCATGTGTGCTATTTTGGAGCTCTGGTTGACTGTTTTTGCCCGTCGGCTTGTACATGACCGTTGTCGCTGTATGTACAAGTATGCATACGGCTGCTGTCGTGTAGTTGTTGATAGCCTGTAAAAAACAATTCTACTGTATCCTTGCACCACAGGACGTACACATCCGGTGGGCTTTTTGTACAGTACCGGCAGACCCGCAGGCTTGATTAGCATTATAAGCAGACACCCACGCCATGCCGATGCTGTAGCCATGTGGCCAGTGCGTCGATCATGTGCACAAGACGCCTGCGGTGTGTCGATCGTGTCCTACCCCTGTACACTACCGTGTCTACATTGAAGATGACAGATAGTCTACATGGATTAGGGGTTGTTGCTCGAGAGGATGTACGTGCTGCATGTATGGACTTGTTCTCCTTTCCCATCTTGCGAGATATATTGAGATCATTAAGTTGCTGAGCCAAGGCAATAAGTGCTGTCTGTAATCTGCATCTTAATAGGTGCTTTCGCTAATCGCTGTGCTGTGTGTTGGTCCCATCCAATCTGGCACCAGTCTACAGACCACTTTGTGTGCTGTGGCAATGGTTATTTTCACACTCCAACCCGCTCTCTCTCTAACCATGGCGACGTGGTTGGTGCAGACCAAGCTTGTCTTCTTAGACACCGCCGGCATGGCTCACGCGAGATTTTAGCCATGCATTGGCCGATACTTAAAGCACCTTGAGAATCTCGTAAGGACCAAGTAGAGTTGTGTAGTAGGGTAGGGTTAGTCGTACTTGGAACGTGAGGGCGGTCGCGTGCCACCACGTATACGGCTGAACGATTCCTTGGAATGTATGCATGTAGCTTATAGTATTCTACTGAATCTTTCGACAACCGGTACCGAGCTCGGGCTCTAACCTCGTTACTCGCTCGCACCATCATGTTTTTTGTACTTTTTTGTTTTTTTGTAGGTGGAGGCCTTGGTAGGCAAGCGAAAACGTTTCTTTTCTTACCTCAAGAAGACACACGAGGAGGGCGGCTTCTGGTTGAACTGCGTTCAGCTCACGCGGCAGGTACGCAACCACTACCATGAGGCTTGGCTTGAGTTGATGTGTCTGGCTACAAAAGAGGTGTCACTCGAGAGTTTTGTTGCGAATGGTTGGCGGTGTTGACGTAACTGTTGCCGATCAGTCTGGGCAACCCTACCGTTAGTTTGATGCTTTCGGGTGATTTGGAGGTCGACTGGACGACACGTCATCGAAATCGGTACCTTGCACAGCTGTTGCGGGGGTGGGGGATTTCCCAGCGCATCAAATCATGGAAGCATGCGCTCAATGGAGCGCCTGATAGGTGCCACGCTGAGAGTATGTCGAGTATGGTAAACAAACAGCGTTGCACCTCGATGGCCATCAACCACATTACTGTACCATTCGCTTGTTGGGTAGTCGATGCGTCGGGTGTCATGATCGTCCAGAGCACTGGCAGCCCCCGACGTTTTTTCGTCGAATACTGTAACTACTTGTGCAACTATCTGCAGGGGGATCTGGCTGTGTATGCCGCAGAGCTGTCGTCGCAGCGCATCCTTCGGCTATTCTACCTCGGCGTCGGGCTGGCCAAGCTCTTGCAGGTCAGAAATACCACATCTTCGGCCGCATGGGGTGCTGCCTGCGGTGCCCCGTCCTGATGCTATGTACTTGAGTGTACTTGAGTTGCGACAAGTCAGGTAGAACAATCGTGGTATGCAGAAGTGTGACCCCAAACAGTGACGAAGCTTGTATTCGTGTTATGTTTTGTGCGTTAGCAAAGGTTCCCTTGTTCCGAAGCTCTATGAGTATAAGACTCTGTTACGGTTACGGTTAGAGATTGGGTGGTACAGTAGGGTTGGACTCCTTACCAGGAGGTGAATTTGACAGGTGTTAAGCCTGTTGGGACCTCTTCATCTCGCCTCTTGATTGCGATTTTGACTTGACGGGACCGAGGACCGTCGTGGTAAACTCGCTCGCTGGCGCCGTTTGTGTACGTATTGCACCTTGCACCGTAACATCCCATCCCATCCCATAACATCCTGTACCCTGTTTTTAGTTGACGACACGGCTTCACCTTCGTGTTCGTGTCAGAGTCTGGCCCTTTTGCTGAACTTGGCAGACTGACCCTATAGTAGACGCCAGCATTTTTTTTTTTTTTATCTTCACTTCAAATCAGCGCTCACAGCACTAGTAGTACTGTAGTGCCGTTTACTCCTTCCCGTGGTCACACAGAAGAGCTTCTCTCTACCCTCCCCTCCTGCGGTACGCCAGCATACGTACTCATGGATACGTTAAACCGTATGCGCACTTGTTTTTGCACCGGCCATGCATGGACAGCAGTCGGGGGAACTGCTGTGCAGGCGGCCTGCTTGGTGCGAGCCAGTGTTGTAAACCTTGTCAGTTACTGCACTATGGCATTTCGTGAAATCGCACATAGATACAACCCGCATGCACACAGAAATAATCTGCCCCCCACGCGGCCCCTCTGTGTTGCTCCTCTGTGCTTGTAAAGGCAGGATGTTACCTTGCCTACAAAGCTTTTTTGCAAACTTATTTATTGGACAGATGGACCAAGCGGTATCCTCAATCCCCTTCCTGCACCCCGTGGACACGCCCGAGACACGCAAAACCAACAACCAAACCCACAAGTACTTGTCCCGGTGTTATTTGCCGTGTGCTGCCCGTATCGTCTGGCCGCACTGATTTCCTGCCATCGTGTTGACATTTCAACAACGCAAACTCTAATTTTTTCGTTCAGTCCAAGGGAGGGCTCGAGCTTATCCGAGGGATCCTGCAGCTGCTAGAGGAGTGGGAATACCACTTTGCTCTGGCGGGAGTCGCCCATCACTCTGTTAAGGCCATGCTGGCTAAGAACATCGACAATCTGGATCACTCAGCGAGGGGGAGGGATGCGAGCGAAGAAGGCGGCGGCAAGCACCAAGAACAGGTGAGGCAGTTGCGACGACTTGAAGAACTATCAAGACTGCTGCTGGTATCTGGTATTTGTGATCCAAATGGTGGTGGCGGGCGTGCCATTCGGGCTTATACATCACGTGTATCATGTGCGATCGATTCAGCACCATCTCTTTTGGTCTACTCGTTTGTTCGATTCGACGGTCTACCTAGATACTGTGCGGTCATATTTTTTCTCTTCTTTGCGGTGGCCAACATTGCTTACTGAAAGTACGTAGCAACTCTGATCCAGCCCTTCCCGTTTTAGCGGTCTACATCTGGGTACGTATCATGAGACTGTCGATACCGTCGACCGGAAAGAAGGCCTCTGTTTGTCCCTGGTTTATCGTTGTCGGTCCGGCCTCGATAGTTAGAGGTGTGGGGGCTTCCGGTGGCACGAGGCGTTCTCTACCACACTATTACAGTGGCAGCAAACAGCAGTTCCGCCTTCGGAGACTTTCGTGAAGTGAAAGTGAAAGTGAAAGTGAAAGTGAAAGTGAAAGTGAAAGCAAGAGGTGTCGACCAGGCTACGGTTTGTTAGTCTGGTGATTTATTGAAGCCCACGTCTTGTCGTCTTCAGTGTTGGTTGGTAGCTTGTGTGCACAAGACGTGCAACAATTTTTTGAGCGCCTCCTCTGTGAGGACTCGGGCGCTGGTTGGTCGTGGCCGCTCTTCGTGGCTATGTCGGCCGCGACAGCAAGGAAGGAGCACGCGGGGTGTGCGTGCGTGAGACAGTGCGTGCTCCACACACACGCGCGCGTGCGCTGCGAACCTCGTCTCCGTTTGTGTCTCGAACAGCATAAAGTGAAATAGGTGCTACCTCCCGAGCCTTCCACGCGCTGACCTAATGTTTGTTTCACGCCCAACCTGTTTGGCTGCTGTTGCTATTCAAATGTTTGTGCCCTGTGCCGCCGCAGGGTAGGTGCGCAGTATCATTCGAAACGATAACAAGGTTACCAGAGGTACTGCAGTGCGGTAAGGACCGGAAATCTGTGATTTGATTTCAAAGGAAACGGCGTGCGCGTGTGTGTTTGCCCTCAGATCGTGGCGCGTCTCAAGAAATTCAACAATGAAGTGGTGTACGAAAACTTGCTGACGCCCGAGGTCCCGTTTTCGCTGGACTACTTGGAGGTAGTGTTCTCGCTGTGCGAGGTCATGTGCCGCATTTACGCCAAGTTTGTGGAAGAGGTGAGTAACAGAAAGGCAGACAGACAGACGACCATGCATGCTGTGTACAGTACCAGGTATGTACCCAATCTGCCAGAATGGGAACTGCAATTGTGCGACATCGTTTTTCATAACTACTGATTTGCTGTCATGACGCCTCATTCAATGCTTCTCGCATCCGATATTGTGTATCACCCTGTCCGCGCCTCATGGACTCGTGTCGTGGCGGCGGTAGTGGCCACATGCCCGAACATGCAGCATGTCCTCATCGGGAGTGCGGTCGATCGCGCTGCTTTCTTTTTGTTTTGCATCCTAACCCTAACCCATAGGAGTGCTACAAGAACGCCTTCGTGTACGATGGCTTGGTCAAAGTAGACAACAAGATCAAGCACCACATTATCAACGTGTTCGCCAAGGAGTTCACCGACATGAGCACCAACATCGCCAAAGACGAACTCAAGACCTTGCGCTAGTTGGAGAAACAAGTGCAAGTTTTGGTTTTTCAGAATATCATGGGGTGTTTGGTGAGACGAGCGCGTGTCACGGCTGGTTTCGGTTTCAAGGCGGCTCTTGCAGATGTAAGTGTGATGCACAGGCACGGTTGTGCAACCTCTGGTCTACTTGACCGGCGTTCCACTCAACTGCGCCCTCGGTCTGTTTGTTTTAGTTGCATGGGCCGCTGGAGTTGCTTGCCTATCGACGAAACACGCAGAGTGCTGCCTGCGCCTATAATAGCGAATTTTTTGCTAACGGCACAAGCTCCCGGCGGGTGAGGAGTCAATCAATCGGCATGTGACTTTCGTGGTGCGTGTAGTGTAGCGGGTTCTGCTGGGTAGTGGCGTGTACAGCTTAGCTTAAGCATGGGGCTGATCGCGGACTTGATCAATTTACGCGTGTCGTTAGTTGTTGGGTGCTGAGCCGTTTTTTTTTTTCTTCTTGTTTGTCCTGTTGCTATTGCCATTGTCATTGTTCGCGTTTGCGCGGCCGAACAACGGCGGTCAGATGGTGACTCCGTGAGTGGTTTTATCGGCAGCGCTTTACTGAAGCCGATGATCTTTTAACCGCGATGAACATGTTACGCGACCTTGACTGGTGTATATGGTATGGTACCATTTTTGTCCGTCTCTTCGAGTGTGTGTGTGTGTGTGTTATTTTTTGTTTTTCAATGATCGATCGAGCGATCCCTTGTGGTCCGCTGCAGGTGTTTTGCGAGTTACGGGGGGTGTAGGGTAGTAGGAGAGGCGTCCGCCTAAAGCGGTCTTGTGATCCAGACACGCTTAGCGACTTTTATAGTGTGAGCGAGCGCGTTTGGTATATTCTCCGGCCATTTTTCTTTCATCCTTCCGCCCCGTCGTATCGTAGCACTTCCGACAGTCAGTGTCAAACGGAACCGTTAGTGACGGCGTTGTGCTGGATACCTCAATCCTCAACACCAATTGTTTTCTTTCCCCTGGGGAACGATCGATCCATCTACCTCTTCTTGTCGATCCGCCTTTTCTTGTCTTGTCTTGTCGTTGTTCGGTGTGTGTGTGTGTGAGGAGCGTGCTTTCTCTTTTGTCTTGGTATTTTTCACCTTATGTGTCGTGACTTTTTTTGGTGTAGTAGCTGTCCGGGCAAGCGGAGACGATTCCTTAACCGTGCCTTGATGTTGTAACATGGGTGTGTACGCGTAGCAACGTGTCTCACCAAACGTGTAGAGACTAATGGACCTAACCCCCGATTGGATTGCAGCGTACTGTAGGCGCTACGAGGAGAGTAAATGCGCCCTGCAACGGCGGGACGACGCTTACGAGCTTGTTCGGCGTCAACTGGGATGTTGGGTCTGGGAGTGGACTGACTGTGAATGGCCACGTCTGCGTTCACGGGGGGCTATAGGGCGTTTTTTTTGTACAGTAGAAGACTTGCCACGGCCGTTCACCTTTCGTGTTATGAGGGTGCATCTCGGCTTAGTTAAAGGGCAGGTACACGCGACCGGACCGGTGGCGCGCGTGTGTATGTAAGTATAACAGTGCGGGGTTTTAGGTGTGATATCTGTGATGTTTCCAATGGATCACTCACGGTCCCTCCCTCGCTGTTGGTCCTCTCACGTCTTGGGCGGAAAGTTAGGGGGGGGGGGGAGAGGGGGGTATTACTGCTGTCGTTGTTCAAGATCCAAGAATTAATTGCTTACCGGGCAGGGGGGGGGGCTCCGTTTCTGCAGCTTCGGTGATAGATATATATCGTTGGGTTTTTGTTCACTGTCTGGCTACACTAATAGCTGTAGCTCTCTCTCGCTCTTGCGTTGCGTTGGCTGTCTTACGCATACTACATGGTTTATTTTATGGTTAGGGAAAGGTGCAATAAATAGAATGAGCGTATATACCGCTGGCGCGAAGGTATGTGTTTCATTTAGTACAAGCGCGGGGGAAGGACAGGGTGTGCCGCCCTCTCAAGAACACTTGGAGGCATTCATTCGAGGTAACTTTTAGCGTGATCGTTTCAAGCATCATACCGAGGTATGCTACATACGCCACCGGTTTTGGTGTGAGTGCCAAGCAGACTGGTGCAAACGTGTAGCTCAATCTGATGTTAGGTGTAACGGCACCGCGACGATGCAGGAAGCCGCGGATCGTTGTTGTTATTATGGGCTCGAACATAATGTGAGTGTCGGCAGTTCGCACGGCTATATGGTCACAATGCGTAGATTGTAGAGTTTTGTTGCACGGCTTAGAACCAGAGACCGTACATGCCACTGAACCGTATTATTCTTATGTTTTGATCGTTACAGGACGTCAGCATGCTAGATGGTATCTACACATGTTAAGGAGCAGCATACAAACATGTGCACACGGTGTGTTGTACTACTGTACCCGGTGGTGCATTTCGCCTACGACACGGCGGCCACGGTATTGATATTGATATTGGTATTGGTATTGACATTGATATTGATACTGATACCAAGCACTCGCGGCCTGCGTATGTGCTATTTTCTGATGAAAGGATGCCTAGCCGAGGCGTCCGTTTTGGGCAGTGATTATTTTGTCACTAAATACGACTCACGTCCTTTCTTCGGCGCGGTAGATACTATCAGATCAGACCGAACGTATACGGCCACTCTCAGGACACCTGGCGATACATGGCGCGGGTCCACTCCGCTTGACGTGGTAGTTCGTATGGTATATTCGACCATTGGGTTTTTCGGCACCCGTCATGTGACGGGCAATGGGTTCGGCATGGCTGGGAGCGGGGCGACAACGTGTGACAACCAACAACCGGCGCTGCTTCATACTGGCTGGCTGACAGCTGCAAGCACTTCCATCCAGAACAGTGCTGTTCTAACTCAAATACTGCAGCAGCTGGTTTCATCTTTTCTTCGGAAATGCAGGGAAAGCGATGTAAATGTACCCATAATGCGGCAACATTGGCAAAGAGTCAACGTAGATCTCTTGGCTTGATTCCTCCACTGTTTTGCAACTGCTTGTGTACCACTATTCGATTTTTGCAAAGAAAGGCAGACCATGCCTCGGATCACAAGGGTACAGTAGAATACGTGAATCGATCAGTGTTCACATTGAACTTACTCGCGAAGCACCGAAGACCCCGCACACGTGAGGTCCCGGGAGGCATACAAAAAAATACCACACAACAGCAGTAGTGCTTAAAAAGATACCGTATATCAAACGCAACACTGGCTCCAGCATCCCACGTCAAGGCTATGGCTTTATGTACAAAATAAACTACAACACGCATCCTCTTCCAAGTGGTAGGTGAAGAGGAACAGCAGCAGCAGTCCGATCGCAGCACACCACCTAAGATGAAGTGCAGCTGGTTCGGCGCTTTCAAACTGCTCCGATGCATGCATCACGCACGGCTCACGTAAGCGTGTTGCTTCGAACCTTCACTCACTAGATGAAATTCATCCGCTGGCCGTTACATCGAATACATGTTACGGTACACGTATTCTATTCTAGCACGTAGCACACTGAAACACCGATGTAGTAACTTGGTACCCAAGTTGCCGGGTAATTGCATGGCGTCGTGCTCGCCCAGGGCGCCAGATATTTGAATTAAGTAAGTCTCCAAAATGAAATGGGCGACCGCTTAGACCACCCTCTCTCCGACATGAGCACAGAAAATATATGCATACAGCGGTGCCGTAATGTACCGGAAATAACCCATCTGAACGGAGGTTACAAGCGACACCGAGGCACATCGTGTGCATCAGAGTGCAGAGACCGCAAACACATGCTGCTGGCTCATATGATTATCCCATCCACATCCGACCTAGCCAGGTTCGGCAATTCCAGCAACTCGACAGGCACCGTTCAATACTTCGTGCGAACATCAACGTCAACACCCAACCACGATATACTCACGTCTCAAAACACGTGCCCCTTGATATACTGCTGCTATGCATACTTCACCAGCAGACCTGCTCTGCCCTGAACAGCTGGCCGGGCGCGATGCTGATCGCAATACAATAAACTACACGACGGCGCTCATGGGTTCATCCACCGTCCACTCTCCCTCCTGCGTCCAACATGCCAGATAAAGATAAAAAAAAGAGAGCACATGCGACACGTTCAACAGACAGACGGACAGACAGACGGACAGACAGACAGACAGACGGGCGGACAAGAGGTGCACACGTTAAATAACATGCACAACAAGCCACAGATACGGCAAAATACTACCCACGAGAAAACAAGCTCGATCTATGGAGGCACGCTTCCTTTTCCATCTGCTGCTTTGCCGCACTTCGTGGACTCAACAAAAAATACAAAAAATATGGCAGAAAAAACCACGCGCAGGTTGTTCCACTGCGGCATATCGAAGCTCTTCAATTGGATAGCCCTAGGGCTTGATAGCAATTGAACAGCACAGACAATGCGCTACTAAATCTCGGGGAAAGATCTAGCAAGTTCAGCGACACAAAATCGGCAAGGACAGTTTCAACACGCCTCACCAAAGTCGCCACAAAAATAAAACAACCGAAGCCTCTACCTGTTCATGTCACTACGTTCAGCCCATCTTATCAATGCAGTCTACCTGTGCATGATAAATACTTTATTCAGCTCATCTTATTAATAGCGGAGCAACCTGAACCGGACTTGTACAGTAATACTTACATTACTTACACTTACATCCGAGAAGCGCTGTCGTTGGTCTTGGTCTTCGTCCTCCAGCGGGAAAAAGTCTATCAACGGCGGGGGCGGCGGACGTCTGCTCGGCAGGAGAGACAGCAAGAAGGGCTGAGGCCCGAACACCTGCTGCCAGTTACCCTTGCACCCCACATCGAATGGGTTGCTCCAAAGCTGCAGCAGCAACCATAATTCAGGGCGGCAACACGCGAGGCGTGACGGTGTGATTAGTTGCAGGGATAATTTGGCTCCTGCCAATATCCAACTCTTGGGTAGTCCTGACGAGGAGAGGGAGAGTGTGGCCCAACCCGCCCACGCCAAGCCACATGGAAAACACCTTCAAGCTCCGTTGGCAACCAGAGCTACGAAAGGAAAAACAAAAAACTTGCGCCGACAGCAAAGAAATTGCCCCCAGGGCGTCCCGTCATATCCAACTATATAGTCGGCATCTCTATGCATGTGCGTCACCCTAGTTCACTGCTGTTTTCACTGTTATAAAATAGCACCGTCTGCGACACCGCAATTCAGGCACAGCAACAACCAACAGGTTGCACATTGTCTTCCTGGTCTACATGTACATACATCCATCGCAACGCTACCAAACGCAGGAGTGCAATTATAGAGAGTAGAGTAGAGAGAGACACAGCCTACGCATACAAGTACAGTACAGCAGCAGTTCAGCAGTTCTGGTCGCGATTTCACACAGCCGAGTGATGCTCGCGTACAGCGCAACGGCGCTGTCAGCCCGGGCTCCGCTTTGGTTCCAGCCACCGCGTGTCCCGAATCCCCTACGTTTGGAGCGTCAATCACGCTACACTACACAGCTGGCATACAGTATGTGTTTTTCTAACCCTCACCTCTCCCCACTGTCTTGCCCTCGAGCGGTGGCTTTGATTCTGGTAGAACTCTATGGTTGTTTGCGCGCTACAGATAAGGTAGATGTGCCACCCCAACAACACGGAGATAGCGACACCCACAGACAGAGCCAGCACGAAGGTCATCATGATGGCAGAGTGTTGGGTCATCTCCAAAGGCGACGGCTTTCGCCGGGCCTGCGACGTGAAAACGTGAAAACGTGTCAGGGTGTCTGTCTGTCAAGAGTGTAGTGTCAAGTGCATGCTGTCGGTATTTCTTGGGGTGCCGATGCGTCTCGGAACACGCTTTGGCGGGCATGGGCGCAAAGAGAGCAACGTAAAGGCCATCCTCCAAAGTTGCTGTTGATGTTGGTGTGCGCAGGATTGTCTAGGGTTTAGAAGAAAAACACAACAACCCCCTATACAACGTGGCCGGCGTCATCAACGGGTAAATGGATACGGGCGGGTAGGCTGGGCATGATAACACCTCAACAACCAGTTCGGGTGTGTACGTTCGATGTGGTAGGCATCTTCACACATCCCACCAACCATTACCATTACCATTACCATCACCATTACCATTACCATTTACCATTGTCATTGCACAACCTAACACCGGTACCAACACCACGCGGCAAATAGCAGCAACCGCGACTCAGAGGGGGAGGCGTGGAGCGTGCTTTCCCGGTCAAGAATGTCCGACACAAGGACTGCACGTTTGGCAAGGATAAGCGACAAAGAACTGCCTCCAAACGAAAACCTCGAACGTGAGTTGAGCCGCCTTTAGCGACAGTCTCAATCTCTTTCTCTCTCTCTGCCTCAGGTGAGTTAACACAGCAGTACAATAGCAGTACACCTCAGAATTTTCCGGCACAGACTTACCCCAGGAGACTTTGCCATGGCCATGAACTGAGGGGCTGAGACAAGGACCGCGTAGACGCAGCCGACGAACATGTACATGAGGAAGAGAACGAAATACCGGTAGTTCAGGTAGCCCACGCAGTTGTTCATCCACGGGCAGTGGTGGTCCATCTGTCCAGCAAGGTCCAGCAAAGGTCCAGCCAAACAAAAATTCAGGCACGTGATTAATCGATCGCCTCGCCAAACCATCGGGCAATATAAGAGCCGCTAATGTCAAATAACTTTGGGCTCGGGATATCACTGACTCACGTCAGCAGGGACGCAGTAACAGTGCACGCGATACACTGCTGTCGACATGGTTGGTCTGCGTGTGCAACCCGGAGAATGGCGCAAAATACAGCGGTACCACATCTTACATCTTCTATCCACCAGCGAGGCGTCTTCCATGACCAACTTGGAACAGAATAACGAATATGTGTACTGATGTCCTTCCCTCTCTCTCTCTCGTTTTCCCTCCCAAGCTACGCTCTAGAGTACAAGCCAAGCCAGATAAGCCAGACCTCCCTATTTCAAACGGGTCTGTGGGGAAGTTCCAAGCTGCATCTATCAGATGAACAACTCCCTCGACGGTATCGTAAAAAATCGTTTCGCCCAACAAAACAGCCAAAACTGCCACCAGCAAAGACAAGGGTTGTCGTGTTGGCATGTCCTCCACGAGGGCAAGTGAGCTAGCTGAATACAATAGTCTTGCAGTCTTGCAGTCTTATAGTCTTGACGGAACACGGCCCGAAGCGTTAAGCAAAGCTGTTTGGAACTCGTACTTCCAGTGATACACAGCCTCCCGCAGACACTATAACGTGCAGTGCTCTCACACACCATAACGAGCAGTGCAGCACGTCCACATTGACGGAGGGTAAGGGTTGGGGTTAGTGCAGTCGTCTCACGTTCACGATGCACTGGTCGCAGACGTGGCAGTGGTGTGCTCTGGCGGGCTTGGGCCCCTTGCACTTCTTGCAGTAGCCGCACCGGACACGGACCCTCCCCCCCCCTCCCGCATGCATGCTTCCCCTGCTGGCAGTTGCGTTGCTGCTGTTGCGTCCCCCTTCCCCGCCCCCATCGGCAGCGGCGGTGCTGTTACCCCCCCCGGCGTTGACCCTTGAGATCGCCGCCCCCTCCGTGATCGATAGGAGAGGCCTGGCATGCGGAAGCCGTGTGCCGTGCAATGGTGCATCAAGTATTGCCGCCAACGAGGCAGGGGGGGGCACGGGAAGCCAAGAAGGGGTTTGCAACGTGTACTGTACCATTGTACAACGCAACGCCGTGGTCTTAACCCTCCTGGTACGCAGTCCCTCCGCAAAAGCGAGATATCGCGAAAAATGTTTGTCAGTCATTGGCCGAGGGGCTACAGCAGTCCCTCCAAAGGACCTGAGCTCCTTGCCAGACAAGGGGTGACTTGGGGCTTCAGAATGAAGAATGCCCTCAAGACACGTGGGGACACTTTTCATACTGAATTCAAGTCAGCTAATTTTTCCGGTACCAGGCTATGTGCAGTTTTACCATGGAGGGGACACGCGGCTTGGGAGATTGTGCGCGGCAAGTCAGAGGCCGAGGAGAGGATCACGCAGCTTAATACACAGCGTACGTTACACAAGTATGATTAGACCAACGGCCCACGTGCGTTTCACACGGCGGAGCCTAGGGGGACTACGGTGCGGTAAGTGACATTTGGGTGTTGTGTCCTCAAAGAGTCCCCGTTTGGGCGTCCAGTACTATCAACAGGAGGGTTAACCTACAACAGCAGAGGCCAATGAAAACAAAACCAACAGGCTCTGGTTATCCGTGTAGTGGCAGACTACTACTGTATACGCACGTTTTTAGTCAAGGCAGTACACAGGCACACCACACGACCAACCGAACGTCTCAAAAATGTAAAACTGCTTGGCAAGATGGTGGACAGTGGCTGCATGCTATCTCGGCAACAACGACGACATGACATCACGACACAGCGTCGGTGGTCATTTCCACCCAAGAGGAGCGTGCAATCACGAGAAGAGTAGCGTAAAATGCAATCAAACGTAAGGCATACGCAGACAAGGGTAGGGCATGATGCAATCAAACGTAGGGCAAGCTACAACCCATCGGCCAGCCCTGTGTAAAGTACAACACCAATCTTAAAGCCCCCTGAGGTGAGCTATCTAGGTGTGTCGTGCAACGCCATGCCATCCGTTGAACACAAGCAACCATGCCCCCTTATGCGAATGCATGACATGCAACAAGAACGGAGGTTCTCACCTTGTCCTCTCTACGACGCTACCATGGCATCTCGGGAAGCATACAATGCGCGGGTTTGGGTTACGTTACGTTACGGATAAGGTTGGGCTAGGTTGGGTTGCGTGTGGCAAATTACCTGCCGCCCGTTTCCTCATCGTCTTCCGTGAGATCGTCGTCGCTATCGCTCATGCAGCTGGAAGGCAAGAACAGCTCAGGCTTGCCCGGGTGGGTGAAGGCGCAGTGGTAATAGTTGAAGAACAAGTTGAAGGAGATGAACAGCGCCCATGTTGCGTGCAGGAGATACTGCATCAACGAGGCACGGCACGCGTACACGATTGGAATAGGCCAGCAACAACCGGCATCAAGATAAGACCATCACCAGCAGAATACTGCACCGACTCTTACACGACTGCAATTTTAATATTCAAAGTCGCAGTTGACCAGCGCCACCAACGGCAACGTTGGGATTGGCAAGACTTGGACCTCACAGGCTAGAATCATCATGAAATGAATACCCATGAGTACTCATTCCCCGCGACGACTGACTGACTGACTGATCGACTGCAGTATTCGCCCCGTGACGGAAAAAAAAATCACGGGGCGGGTGTGGGAAGAGGAAAACTGCTGCGCGATGAGAGGCTCTCGGAACAGAAAAATATGACAGGCAAAGTCACACAGGCCCCCATGGCCAACCGACAGACTGTGCACGCCTAGGCCCAACTCAAGCACAGTGGTAGGTGGGCACGCATATCCTCGCGAGCAGACCAAGCTAACACAGCGGCGCCGGCGCAAACAAAGAATTACGCGACATGCTTCAAATTACGCGCTAAGGTTTGTCGCGTCTTTGGATAGGACCCTATTATAATTAATTCAAGCAAACACAACCCGGGCAACGGGTGTCCGCTACTGCTCCCAAAGCGGGAAAGTAGTCAATTCCAGATATTTTGGGGCTTGTGCTGAAAGGGAAATGCAGCCGTGGGGCGAGGCGGCCAAAGGAGGAAAGGCAGGAGGGCGTGGCAATCACTAAAAACCAAAGCCGACAACGCCTGTCGCCACTATTAGGGGATATCGAGGTATTTTCGCAACGATACGCAAAGCCGAGCAGAGCACATGTCCTGTCCCCACCAACACAGAGAAAAAACAAAAATGTTGTACGTTTTTCCCCCGAATGAGGAGACCGCTATTGTGCCCAGTAGGCATCCCACCGCTACAGTACCGGGTGACATCAAGACGCACACTTGTTTGTAAGTTGTGCAGTTAGAGGCGTAGAGTAGAAGCAACGCATGGCCGGAGTGGCCATACGTTTGTCTCACCGGTATGGAACCGAACGTGGCCGTGGCCGGGAGAATGAACTTGAAGTACATGCAGATCACGCAAGATATCAGACCCGTCGCGAAGAGCAACAGCAGCGGCCCCATGAGCCGCAGCGTCCAGTCGAAACACAAACCCATACCCATCTGGGGGAAAGGGAACCAAGACACGGGGGGACAAGGGCAGAGCGAGGACCAAGGATGCACGTGCCAGGTTTGAGAAAAACGGGATGGGATTAAACACTTCAATCGGAAAGAAAACCGTTGGACAACAAAAATGGAATGGTACACGGAAGCTCACAACAGCCCCTGATCACCGACTGCAACAAGACAAGCGGTACGGTATAAGACCGCACCTTGGCGGTGCAAAAACGATGAGGTGCTGAGGCGAGGCGAGCCGACCTTGGTCGAAAGCAATGGTTGATCCACAACGACACAAGCTGTAGGCCTTGCAAACACTCCGTTGCACCCGTTTTCACCCTACCTAGTATACTTGGTATACTCGTGTACCTCGACGCTAACCCTAACAGCACCAATGGCGTGACGTCACTGCACCGCCACTGTTCGCCACTCTGTTACTCTATTACTCTATTACAGACAGCGTACGAGACTCCAATAGCGGCGGTTCAATAGCCGTCCATACGCATACGGGATCTGCCATGGTTTCCATTTGTGATGTCATGGCTCACCTGTAGCCAATAGAGGTACTCGAAATTCTGGTTGCTCTGCGCGAGCACCAACAGGCAGGCGGGGGGGAACAGGGCTTGTCTTGAAAACAGATAGACCCGCAAAGTACAGCCCTTGGTGTTGTTGTTCACATTCAAAACCGTTCCGATCCCTCTGTCCAGTACCCTCTGCTGTCCGTAGTACACTTCACGCGGTCGACTCCCGTGGTCCAGGCTAACTCAAGAAGGCCCTTAATGAAATGGACCCAAAGGCAGATGTTGTTGTGATATGATGTAACTGCTGTGTCACTAAATCGACTACAGCAGTACTGCTGTAAATAGAATATAGGGCATCATGCCACGGGTTGCTGCTGTGGTGTCTCTAGTCCACCGTACCCCACTAATTGTGGTATGGACATTAGGTTGGACATGATTGGATGTTATTCCTACGGTTCACGCCGTGTAAATGTGTATCTGTTGGACCATAGACGATTTGCTGTACACAGATAAGCCACACTACCTACCGTCCGTTGCCATTGGTGGCGGGAGTTTTTGTTTCTTCTTTTTTTCTTAATATGACACAACGAAACCATCTCTCTCTATCATAGAAAAGAGTCTGAGACAGATTAGCAATGGATTCATAGCGTCAGAAAGTACCTGTATGTCTACGATTTCCCAGACAGCATACAGGGACATCTCCCCTGCGGGTAACAGGTTATTGTATTGCTACTAGTGCCCGCGGACAAATTATGGAAGTCAAGACCAAGCATGGTCATGCCCGGTTTCGTGGGCGTGCGAACTCCTGAATGTTGTTGCGCAGGCAACCACTAAGCTCGTGCTGCATGTGAAGTTACCGGCGGGGAGACCAGCCCACCTCAAATGGCCCGCGTGCTATCCCCCGACTCTATTGATTGATTGATTGATTGGTTCGTCGGTTCTACAGCAGAATGCATTCCCATAGAACCTGCTCTCTCACTTCCAAGGCATCGACAAACTGCCTCCATCGTGTTGGAGTTGGTGCTGATCGTGCTCCGCTTGACCGGCTCCTCTCCGACCGCCGAGGCATGGTTCAAACAACCCCCCTCGAGCTGAATACACTCCTCTACCACACTCCCGTCTCCCTCCGGCAGTTGCGTGCTCGGCTCGTGCTCCTCGACCTCGACCTTCCAGCTTCCAGCTAGCACGACACGCAGACAGCCAAGGGAGCAGGAGGGATAGGTACCTGCAGGTACTCAATGCTTCCTATATGTGGGGCCCCTTACTATACATTTGTAGTTGTTTGTGCGTGGACGTTCGCGGACTCCGAGGAACAGGGACCCGAGATGGAGGGGTCAGGCACGCGCTTCGAGATGGAGCTGGAGCTGATGAATTGCCTTGCCAGTCCGGAGTACTTGCATTGTGAGAGAGACACATAGCAGTAGTAGATAGCAACCAGCCGTCAGGTCTTGATGCATGTCCTATTACGCCGCAGTTCCGCCCGTGTACCGTGTACCGTAGTACCCTACCTCTGGTATGTTGTTTCGCTGTCTTCCAACGCCTTGGCTGGGCCAAGTGCGAAGGCCAACAACAACGTGACGATGATGCGATGTTAATGCTTTGATATTCGCAAGGGCCCAATGACAATGTAGGGGATGGTTCGTTTCGCGATGACCACTCCAGAAGATAACCTCCTGCAGAGAAGAAGTGCTCATTTGGTTTCATGGCCTCTCGCCTATTCAGCCGTAGTACATACTACCCGGTCATCAAATCGTTGATCTTGATCAATTCTGTTGAAGGCTCACCACGAAATGTAGACTACTGCTGTACGGTAGCAGAATACACGGTCGCAGACTCCCTGCTGCAGCCTTTCTATGTCGATGCCATAAGGCAGAGTTCTGTCGTTAAAACGTTACGTCTCAGCGGCATGAGCTGCGAACGAAACACCAAAGCGGATGTATCCGGTTGGGTTGTGATCTATCACCCCACCCGCGTACATACCTACCTCTATCCATGACGTTGTCCAATGTCGAAATTCTCCCGCCGGGCCTTCCGGTCTACATGTACTGCTGTGTACGTGTGCCGCCGCTGTCGGAACAACCGAACAAAGACTTAGCTCAGGGTGGATACCTGGACGACCGAGCGTTTATCCGGTTTCTGGAGTATCTGCAGTACTTCAAACGTCCAGAGTACGCCAAGTTCATCACGTGAGTTTACCTTGCAAAGAGTATGCGCATCCTTCTTGGCGATTTTGTTGCCGCGGTGATTTACCGTTTAGCGGCACCTGGCTGGCGCCCGGTGCCTTGTGGTCTATGGCAGGTGTCCACAGTTCCGTTCGTGATGCAAGAGGAAAGTACTGTGCATCAGGATGAAAGTGTGGTGTGTATTGTATGTCGTTACTGTGCCGTGAGTGTGTTTCGTTGCCGATCTTCGCCGAAACAAGATTAATATCGATTGCTTCTGCCTTCAACGTCAAAAGGCGGCCAGACAACACGAGCACGAGCACCACACTGACACTGACACTGACAGCAGAGTGGGGCGTTGAAGGACTGCAGGCAACTCGATTTCATACGCTGCAACATACTGAAAACCACGCAGCATCAGGCAAATCAGCCTGGTTGGTGGCAGATTTCACGCCGAGATGAATAAAAGCAGAACGTGTTTAAGCACGACGCCCGCGTGCTCGCCCTGAGGAAACTTGAGGCCTCGTCATGAACTGCTGTATGATATGAAGGATGAAGGAGACTCTCGTAACGATTATCCCGGCAGTCTTGACGAGTTGCATGTTCTGTGCACACAATTGTTTTGCCGCGCTCAGATGTGCTGCGCATGCACGATATCTCAGGTACCCGCACTCCCTGGCCATGCTTGATCTGTTGATCAACAACCCGCCCTTCCGCAAGGTGAGAACTGTAAGTCAGTCGCGTCCAGCAGCCAGAGACTTCCATGTCTTTCTGCTCACTACGGAGTGTAGGTGTAAACGTGAAGTCCATGCTCAGACCCTGGCTTCCTTTTTCGGTAGCGAGGGGGCTCCTTGCGCTACGTTTTCGAGGAGGAAAGTACGAGGATTGAAGGCTCCGGTGTGGTCATGCCCGTACACTTTTCGCTACGCATGTGGTACCACAGTAGCAAGCACGCACAGAGGTGGTGTGGTGGCATTCTGAGAAGCGATGGACCTTGCTCGCTTTGAGTTTCCTATTGCAGTATTGTAGATAGGACAACCGCTGCTGCAGCGAACGGAAGGAAAGGGCTCGACAAGCTCGGTGCGGCGACACGCTACAGTAGTTGGGTTGGGTTAGCTTGTTACCACAGAGTCTTTGATAGAACTCCGAAGAAGAAGCGGTAGATATAAGAATGGCTCCTACTGTGGCAACGAGGCGTGAGACCAACTATCGCGCGCTACACCCATGCAACAGAGCGACCGCGGTGCGAAAGCGGAACGTGCGTGCCATGCAGTGACTGGTGGCCCAGCCAACCAGGTTGACGCTGGCCCGTGTTCCGCAACCCACCCTGTGCTGCTGTAGCGAGGCGCCATTCTTCCCAGTTGGCAGTGTATTTAATGGGGTCGTCTAAACCGCTGTCATTGCGCCGTTTTTTCTCGCGCGTACCTTGTTCCTGTTCTTGCAACACCCTCCAGGAAATAGCACACGTGAGTTTCCGGGATTTTGTTCATCAGCAGCAGTTCTTGCATTGGCAGTTCGGCAAGACGGCCGCCCCTCCGCGGCCACCAGCAGCATCAGCACCAGCATCAGCACCAGCATCAGCACCAGCATCAGCAGGGCAAGGAGCGCAGCCGCCCAAGTAGTATGGAGCGGCAGGAGAAGTTAACCATGAAGCATATCGCCGTATTTGCGGGTCAGCGGCTGCGGCTTGGACGCCTTAAAACAAGGCGTTGTATATACAGGACGAGTTACAAGTGTATGTTGCGTATGTTGTGTGCGTCATCATCGAACAGAAGGTTGCAATAGTTGAGACATACTCAGTTGACTCTCTATTTATGGAATCTATGTTCTCGTTTGCCATGCAGTGCATGAATGCACTACTCAACTGCCAACAGCAGCTGGGATACAACGGGTGGGCCCGCCAAGGCTTGGTATTGGTTTGCATGGGAGATACACGCGTTGTGTCTCGGGCGATGCTGCTACTGTAGCTGCTACCCGTCTGTGTTTACACTACGGACGCGTCGCGTATTCCACACACAAGTGCGAACTGTTCAGTGCTGTATTCAAACTCCAACAAGCGGGTGGGAGAACTTCGCTTGCGTATACCTCTTTGCTTTGAATGTGGAATAGAATAGTAGCAAGAAGCGGCGTGCTTAGCGCGCAAGGTTCGATTGAGCGCATCCACATTGTCTCCGCCTTTTCTCATCCGGAATGGGGCTACCTTGCTGGGTGACAACCTCTACATATCATCACGTCTGTTGCACGACGCCGTTGCGTTCCTGATTTTTACCTCACACACCGCCTGGCAACACCTTCTTCTCAACCGCTAACGCACGAGGTCGGCCGCACATCCTTACGGCTCCAAACCGGACTATGATGCTGATGCAGTATATCCACTGATGCCAAGATACGGGCTTGTCGGTTGAATCGTGTGCAATCGTCGGCACCTTACACAGCGCGGTGTTCCGCAGCCAATAGCTGGAGGCATGTCCACGAGCCCTGGACGTTTTGTCGTCTCTTTGTCTCCACGTTGTTGATGTTGTGTTTTTGCTGCCCTCGACGTTCTACTTGTCGTCTTCCACCACAGCCCGAGCTATGTGGGCACAGCTGCTCTCGCGCTGAGCAGCCACTTGCTATACTTGTGCCCCATAACTTGTTGTCGACTTTAACGCTCTCTTGGTAATCCAAGACCGACGATATCCCACAAAAATAAAACGAGAGTACAGTAGACCACGGACGGATTCGCCATATATGTTCCTCGGAAATCTTGTATGCACATCCCTTTGACCACTACCTACTGCTGTTGTTTGTTGTATCTATTATGATCAACCGATTGTTCAGAACGATACCGTTGGTTCGGATGTTAAGGGATTCAGAAGTTACGATACCCCGTGCGAGTGCGCGTCAATTGGATGGCGACAGTTTGCTGCATGCGTTTCACACGGAGTTTTGCCCGCTCTTGGCCCTCCGGCCGATGTATCAACGGCCGGCTACATTTTACGAAACAATAGGATCGATTCAGCAACTGACCCATCGTCTTGCATTTCTCCGATCATCACTCGCTGCATTGCAGTGCTTGCAACTCCAACTCTCTAGTCAAGGTGGTTCGTACGTATGCGCTAACTACGGCGGCGGGGGGTGGTGAGTCGAAGTCAGAAATCCAAAAAGACACCACATGAACGTACCCAGCAGTTTCATTTCGGCGCCTCCAGAACTTTCCTGGAAATCCGTTGTTACCGCCACGATTCTGCGGGGCGTTGGTGTGCGGCACACACGGCACACGTGCTTGCCATTGTTGCTTGTCTTTCCCATCCCCACTGGCACCGTCAACGTTTACTTAAGGAACTGCTGTGGGCTGCTCAAACTTGTGCTGAATCTGGAAGCTGGGGTGTGTGTTCGCAGGTGCGACCTGTGATGCGTCATTGTTCAACCCATTGCAAGCGACCAACTGCGAAGCCCCTGGATAAGGTGTTGCGACTCCGCTTGCGTGTTGTTAGGTCATAAAGGATTGCTGTCTCTCTACACGCAGCAGAAGTCTGAAGTGTACATGGGTGAAGGTAATCGCAGAAGCGCTCGATTCTTGCACTCGGTTGTGCGTATTTTGAAAACACCCGGCGCGTCATCTCCTTGATCACGGCAGACACGACCGTTAGGCTCACATATTAAATGTGTAGGCGGTTTGTTGTGCTACAGCGGGCAAAGGCTCTGTCTCGTAGTTGTAATCAGAAGACGAGTCCACTAGCTGCACGTGCACCGCTGAGTGCATCCTCCGAACCTAGTCTCCTGTTGGCGTATTTCCCTGTCGGTTGGTGACAGCAACATTACAGCAGAACGCTCGATTACTGACATTTCACGCCGCACTGCGCCACCGCACTGCTGCGCATGGGGCCGCGGCCACAAACGACGACAGCAGTCCGGCTCTTTCTATTATATACATCTGTACATTGTCGCGCGATTCAATCCTCCGCCACACAACTATCGCATGTGTTGTCCTCCGTTTGATTGTGGACCTTGTCTGTTCTTTCACGGTCAAGCGGCAATTAAATCCTCAAGCACGTCTTAGAATAGGAATTTCAAACATTCACACATGCGGCACATGCGGCCGTTCCGAAATCCCAGGTCCACACAACCTGGTAGATTCTAGCCAACGCAGAGTTGAAGCTCTATGAATATCTAGGGACAGCAGTTGGTGCCTGAATAGCAGTACAGTAGCTTCTGTGCACCCCTTCACACTGGTTGTTCTAATGGATATTTATATTTCCATGTGTACTTGCGGATTTGTGTTTCATAGTTCCGAAGTTTGAACGGAGGTGACCACACGATCGTCCCAACGGTCCTGGCTTCGCGGCTGATTTGTATCCTTGGCATCGTAACCGGTCTTGTCTTCCCCTAGAAGGGCCTTGAAGGGTGGCTACAATCGTGGTCATGACGGTCGCACGACTTCTTGCACTTGATACCAGCTCTCCAAGTCCTCTATTGCATGCACAACTGCTGTTGCCATGTTTGGGTCGATTTGGTCGCATAATCGAAAGTTGAACTCTCGCTTAAGGTTGACTTGCGGGGTCCCAGAAGCGGCATGAAGTCCACCAATCAGGAAGTGACGATTTGGCTGCAGATAAGATGACTCGAAGTGTTCATCCCGTTGCAAGAAGAACGCATGGTACGACTTGTGTTAGACCTGCTTCAATTTTTGCAGCGAGGGAGGGAGCGCTACCAATGGCAGGGAGGGGGGGGCGTACTCTCATGTTTTGCATGCCTTAGCGGTTCGACCATTGACCGCGCGTCCTTGAGAGGACTGGACCATTGTTCCCACAGGACCGATCACCGATGGCAAATCGTTCCTTCCTGTGGCAGGGGTTGGTCCCCAAAATGGGACGCAGCCGTCACAAGCAGGGGAAGGGCTGAAAACGTGTAGCGTCATCACCACATGAACATGCCTCCGCGTTCCGCCAACCTTGTTTACGCTTGTTGTATTACTTTAGGTGTGCGGGACAGGTGGAGGCACACATGCCGAGGGGGGGCGGCGGGGCTGGCTCCAGCTCGGGCTCAAAAGGGGCCGCGCCATTAGGCAAACAAGATGCCTTCAACGAAGCGCAAACGGCCATGAGGGCGCAGGTCATCGGGCCCTTCGAGAACCATGGGCAGTGCAAGCTGAGCATGGTGAACGTGACCGCCACCGCCGACATGAAGTGCACGATCGACCTGAAGACGGTCGTGATGAGGGCACGCAATGCCGAATACAACCCCAAGCGCTTCTCGGCCTGCGTAAGTAAAACTCGGGAGCTGCATAGAGGTCTCTGCTTGGCTGGTTCGTTCCTTGCTCCCTGTCGTGGTGGTTTGATTGATCTATAATAATCGCAACGTGTCCATCTCGCTGTAGCAGTCGCAGCTCTGGAGGCAGCAGTCCAGACGTGAACACACAGCTGTACCAGGGTTTACTATTTGACGGCTTACAACACAAGTAAGTTATGTCTAGTGCCATTGCACGCAAGCGGCCGACGACTACTGCTGGTATTTGTTATTTCTATGTTGTTCCCTGGACATGACCATTGTCTGAAGACCAATGCAGACCAATGTTTCAGCGCTGTTCTCGACGCTGTAGAGCACGAACACCAACGACAGCCTGTCAGAGGAATTCGTCCATCTTACTCAGTTGTATCGCCGCTACTGCGGCATAGCACCGGGGCAATGTTGTTGGCAATTGATCCTGCCCATCAGAGCTGCACGTGCTGCACCGTTTGGTTCTATCTGGACCCGCGAAGTATCGCATATCCTCCAAACCAGCGTGCAATCCCGTAAGCCTCCGAAAATGATTTCAATGCGACTTATTCTGCCGCTGCTGGTTGTACGCTCTCTGCAACTTCGGGACTCTGTTTACGGCGTGGCATTCAAAGATCATCCGTCTGATTAACAAGAACGAGCCAAAGGCGACGGCGTTGGTGTTCAAGACGGGCAAGGTGGTGGTGACGGGGTCGAGGAGCAACGCTTCGGTAGACTACGCGTGCAAGACGTTCGCTCGGATCCTTAGCAAACTCGACAACGGCAGCGGCGGACCATCGCACAAGATTAACTTCGAGTGAGTCGCTGGTAGAAAGCCAGTATGTGTGTGCCTTGTCTACAAATGTGTACAACAACGTCGAGCACCGCGCGATTTATTTTGCAGATATATTTTTCGTTTGGTGAACGTTGTTGCGATTCCTAATTCCTGCGCCGAGGAGGGCGCAACTACTCATATCGGAGTCTACCCGTGCTGTTGCGTGTTGGAGATTACTGGCATCTAGTTTCTTCGTGAAGCGGGAAGGCTTGATGGCTCAGCCAAACCATTATCGTGCTTATCTGCGCGATGTGTGTCTTCGTGATGCAGCACGAGTTCCGAGTGTACAAGTCGTGGATAGAAAATCTCCATTCGTGCACACGCTTGATGCAGAGGCCTCGCGCGTATAGGACTTGATTCCGTTCGGCTCACGTGCAAGTATCAATCAAGCACGTTACCCAATCGATCAACCCGTCGAGAAGGTACAACGATTCTGCATACTTCCATATTTAATATGCTGCCATTGAAACGTTCGTGTCCTATGATCAACCGGTGGTAAAGCTTTTACTCCGACCCCTACCCTGTCCCCCTCGATTGCTGGGTGCACCTCACCCCGATTTTCCGAAATGTTGGCATACTACACGCCTTTGACACGCCTTTGCGCCAAAGCCTCGAGAGAGACCGGCGGGTCCAGAACATGGTGGCAACGACGGACGTGGGGTTTCCGATTCGCCTGGAAGGCTTGGTGGCGTCGAACCAAGGGTGCTTCTGCAACTACGAACCCGAGCTGTTTCCGGGGCTGATTTACCGCATGAAAGATCCCAAGATATGCTTCCTCATCTTCGTTTCGGGAAAGGTGTTGTACACAAGCACGGAGACGTCACCAAGTCGCAAACAACCCAGATTCAACCAAACGGGCGGTGGCTATCGAGCTGACATTTCCGGGAGCTTCGCTTCCTTCGGATCCGTTTCCTCTTTTTGAGAGGGCTGAGCATTAGAGTTCACGCCTGGTTTCGCATCACTATGATAGTTTTCGGGGGTTAGGATTGTTTGGGTGGAAAGGGTGCTCAAGTCTGCTATGTGTCCACCAACGCGCCTCATGTGGTATTTTTTACGGCAGCACTGGATTCCTCTGGTGGTGATAGTCGCTTGACCATTATCCTTTCATCCGATGATGAGAAGTGCCCCGACTCTGTTCCCGACTACTGCAATGTGATTGATTCTAACGGAATTTCAGGTGGTGCTGACGGGGGCTAAGAGCGCCCAACAGCTCGAGGATGGCTTCAAAAAGATGTACCCTACGCTGTGCCAATTCAAGAAAGCCACTGTCCTCTTGCAGACCTCGGCTACTGCTCGTACCGCAAATGCAGCTGCTTCTGCTTCTGCGTCCACTGACTCGTCCTCCGAACCAGCGCGAAAAAAGACCAAGACATAGCAATCATGGTACGTAAGTTGGTGAGGTTTTATGTTGCTGAATCGTTTTGTTGGGTTTGAGTGATCTCTGTGCCATGTAGGACGCAAGTGGTCACTGCTATACGCTGCATCGCAGCACTGCAGACCTTGTTGCTCCTAGCTTCTTGTTCTCATTGATGCCCATCGCTCTTGGGGTGTCGTGCTGCGATTGCTTTCCGGCATGGCACCTTGTACTTCTGCGTGCTTCCCTTTGGGCTTGCGAGATTCCGCTAGTAGATCTCACTGTTTCGTCCTGTATGTCGCGCTTTTGTGGCATACTGTTTGTGGCCAGGTCGTAGACGGATATCCTGGGCCAGTTCCCAAAATAACTGCTCGTCTGGCATGGACACCGACCGATTGGTGTGGGCGGTTTGGAAAATAACTTGAGACCAGTTCGCTCCGTGATGACCCTCTACTCCCGAATTAACAGCTTGTGGAGGGCAGGGATGTTGAAACACGAGTGCACCCGTGTGGACGCATTCAAAGCGAGTCAAGAACCGATCGGCATGCGTTTGTTTTTCGTTCCTCCTTCCTTTCCTTCGTGCGCTTGGTCCTCTGTGAATCAAGGTCATCTCCCTCTTCCTCTCTGCGACACACGTCTGCGGTGTCTGTGTGGAGGGGTGCGCAGGAAATATTGTCACCATTGTCGACAACATTTTTTTGGGGTGCAGGGTATTAAAAGGACGACGGACACGTGACGGTTGTGTCCGAATCAAGGCGTTCAGAGAAGGTATGCATAGTGCTTAAGTTTCGTTGCAAGTGGTGCTGTGAGTTGTGGTGTCGTCGGTGTGGTGGGTACTCGTGAGTAGGACATTTTGTTGACGCTCCCTAAATTCTCTGTAAAAATTAAAACGTAATTCCGTCATCAAGTGTTGGCACGTTTGTGTGTGTGGTCATCCAGTTATTCCGGACGTCCGACTTTTTCACCTTTCGGTTTCTTTTATGTAGGACGCACCAGCCAGAGCTACACAGGAGTTTTTTCTCTTTAGAATGCAAAAAGAAGTCGGCAACAGCTGGTTCTTGTGCTTGGTTGTGTGCTGTGATTTTGCCATTACAGAGCACGTGGCGCACCATGGTTCCAACCTGTTTCTCCTTGGAATTCAAATGAAGTTTTAACAGTCCGGTCCCCAAGATGGTGCAAATCACGTTACTTCCCTCCCACGGCACGCGTTTCTTCGCGTAGACACAGTTCATTCTAACGTGTCAGTAGGGACGTGGGCAATTGTAAGGCAGTGCGGTAGTGTCTGACGTTGGTACGCGCGTTTCCGCGGGTGGTATACGAGGAAATTGGTTCGAGATATGACAATGGCGACTTTGGTCAGAGGAGCGTCAGTATTCAGTCAGGGGTGTGGGGCTTGGATCGTGGCATTAGGATGCGTTGATGGGTCTAATGTGTTGGTGGATTGGCCATTGCTTTCCCTGGGCATGATCCCGTATGTGCAAGCTTGGTGGAAGTCGTAATGAAAAGCGGAGCCACGGCGGGCACCTGTGTCTGGTCGTGATGCTCCTTGCGCTCCTAGGGTGAAGGACGATACAGGTGCTTCCTGGACGCCATCATCGAGTTGAAATTCTACCAGGCCAGCAGCATCATCCCGTGAAGCACCCGCGGGCAGTCAACACTCTTACAGGAAATGGTACATATCTGGGAAAGGAAAGAAAGGCGTTTGGCTTATTTACACCAGTATTTTTCAGGAAGCCGTGCGCAAACCCTTTGGCCTTTCAGTCGCAATGGCCCTGGGCTACCCCATAGGACACTACCAAACCCAACCTTCGTTTCCTTTCTCGAAGACGCGATCGGACGGGAAGTAGCGTGGCGTGCCGTCTACGTTTACAAGCACAGAAAAACAAAACACCTTCTGCCTACACACGGGCGAGAGAGGTAAACATACCCACTGCATTTAACACCCACCCACATGTCGGTGATGAAACCTCAACCACACGCCTCTATCGGCGACCACGTCAGGATGCAATGATGAGAGAATGTTCTCCCGCGCCCTTTGCACACTTAACGACATGAAGTTACACAAAACGGTAAGAAAATGGTGACGCACATACTCCGAAATGTGTCCGCACATACGCATACTCCGAACATATGCGTACCGCACTGAAAATACGTTTGAAAACTGAGGGAGATTGCATGCCCTACGACTAACAGGGTGCCACACACAAAACGCCCGACACCCAACAGTACCCAACACCTTTCTTCTGCACCTTCCCAACATAACATATATGAGACACACAAGACAGCTACCAAACTGTTTTGTTGAGCCTGTTACCCGCAGGGGAGATGTCCCTATATGCTGTCTGGGAAATCCTAGACATACAGGTAGCTTTTTCCGACGCTATGAATTCATTGCTAGTCTCGACTCTTTTCTATGATAGAGATGGATTCGTTGTGTCATATTAAGAAAAAAAAAAAAAAGGTGGACTGACACAAGCAGGCTACAGGTGAATAAAAACTACAGCAGTCTTCGCCGTACACACGCATAAGAGCAACATCCCAGACAAGCACAAGTACGGGTGGAAAAATGCTTCAGCGCTGTAGACTACACACGGTACGCTCAGCTACCAGGTTGCCATTGGCAGAGGCGATCTCCGGCCGAGGAGCCGACAAGGCCAGCTGCCACCTGGTAAACAAAACGATGTTGTGTCATTCGTTGCCACCGTTGACTTTCACCGAGGGAGCGGAAAACTTCTTCTGCTCCTGTTGCAACCCGTCAACGGCGCGGCAGGAGGAACTTGTAGGAGCGCTGCACCCGCTGCACGATCTGGAGCTGCTGGCCCACGGACACCAAACCCCTCTCCCCGACCAGCTCAGCCAAGTCCTCGTGCAAGTTGACGAGGTCTCTTCGTGGGAATCGTCGAGGTCCTGACCGAATCAGTCTCAGGACCTGAAAACAGAAGTCACAGCGATAGCACCGAATACGTTAGGCGGGCGTGACGGCACGTCACGTGCGCGTCAGCGTGCGTGTGTTTAGAACCGGTCCCCCGAGAGGGGGTACGGCTGAACCGACCCGGAGTATTTCGTTACTGAGTATTGAAGAGGTTCAGAACCCGCTCACACCTCAACCTGACGGTGACACCAACCCAAACGCGCCAAAACCGATTGCCGTTGGTTGTGCAACTTACACATGGCTTACATGTATGGGAGCACATATGAAACGTTCTACATGGTTCCAAACGAGCCAACCGTATAGGTACATTCCTACGTATGTGTCGCGTCCCACCTGATGCACGAGCATCATCAACTTGCCCAAGTCGAGCTCATCCAACACTCGTACAGCCATCAGACCCTGGCCACGCCCGGCAGACACGACGACCTGTCTGGTGCAGTTGTCCGAGTGGCCGAGCGGCTTCAACAGACTACCACGCCTGCGCGGCAGCCCTACCTCCCCTTCTGCCTTCTTCTCATCCGCGGCTACCGGATGATCAGCGGCGAGTTGTAGCCTAACGAACGCAGTGATGGAGTACAACGCGCAGAGATCCAGCGGAAAGGTGGAGCCAAGATCCAATGCCTTGCTGAATATTTTTTCTTTTTCGGTGCAGGGGAAGCACCAAAGCAGAACCATTTGCTCCGAGGGGGGTTCTTGGTAGGGTACACGGACACGGAGGAAGGATACCCCGTCGAACACCGAACTACGAGGGCTCTTCGGAGAGGATGGTTCGTCATAGTGCGATGGACAAGCCACTAGACGCAAATAGAACGTGTGGTACGGCAGTGTACCACTACGGCCTGTGCGTCCGCAGAATTAAACGCCTGTCGTACAAGCCACGAACAACGGTCTCATGAGATACCAGGTAGTACAAACGACGTGCATGATGAGCAGTTGTAGAGCAAATGGCGTGTTTTGCTGCATTCCATCATAAACCTCACTATTATTTTCGACCCTCACTCTCACCACGTCCCTTCCCGGTGTCGGAGGTTGAGAAGTCTTTCCATGGCCAGCACAATGGTGCACATCGCCGTGAACGTCGACTCGCGCGACTTCTCAGACTTGAGCCAGTAGTATGCGGGCCTCACTGCGAACGAGCGCATCACGCCACGCAAGGTCAGGAAATACGCCAAGGACATCAATGACGGGCTTGCGATAGGAGGCGAGGTGTCCCGGGAAAGGAAGGGGAGGGGACAACAACCATGGCGGACCAATGTAGTCACGGAGCCCTCATAAGCACTTCCAAGAAGGCACACGGGGGTGACGACAAAATCAGTTTCTGACCAAACAGTAGGAGGCCGAAATTATCGAAAACGATATTCAGGCTCTGAAGGGTTGATGTTCAATGGAAATCAGAAAAGGACATTATGGAACGTGACCTGCGTATTGGCACACCCAGATCTGTGTCGAAAGCTGCAGCTGCGATCCAAAATGTCCGCAATATCTGGGTCAAAATCTGGGTCGATTCAATTCGCAATCCACCGCTCCTCTACGCACCGTCACAGGCCCAATCTCCTCGACTGCAGGTGTACAGCAGTAGCTCACACCACTAGTGAACTGGGCCGACCAGCAGTTTGAGGGATTTGGTCTGTGACGACGCGTACATCAATGGATTGTGAACGGCGGCATGAACCCAGATTTGGACCCAGATTGGCGGACATCTCGGGGAGAAGCTGGAGCGTCCGCCAGCACGGCCCCAATAACACACGTGGGAGTGTCAGCGCGCAGGTCGCTGCTCCATCATGTCATGATGCCCTCTACAGATTTTGCATTGAACATCAAACCTTTGTAACGCAGAGTATCTGTCATTCTCCGTGTCGCCTGTTTTGTGCTGAGGTCAGTGGTGAAATGCTGGCGGCAGTTATCACACCTGCCCTGTAGGATCCCCAGGCCAAGAGGAAGGCAGGGACAGTGGCCATCATCCTGAGGTTCAGTTCGTTCTCCCTTGCCAGCTGCCCGATGGCCGTCGTCGCGATCAGCAGCTCTCGTTTGATGAACTGGACCTGTATCAACATCTGGAGGGAACGCGCCAGCCGAAACAGAGGAGGGCGCGTGTTTCCTTACGAGCTGAAAGCATTAGCCAGCTAACTCCCCCTGCCGACCCTCGTTGAATGGCATGAGCCAAAATTCAAAACGCACGATGCCAAAACATCGCGCGTGATGCCTCATGAAGATGTTACTCTTCGTGTACGCCCTGAGGTACATTTGCTGCCCAAAGGCGTCACTATTTCGGCGCTGTCTCATCCCCAGTGGCTGCTGATGGTACCACCGCAACACAGGCATGGCAAGAATCATATCGTCGTCTACAACAGTCATCAAGGGCGGGCAGGGTGTATTGTCCGAGAGGTGTTCGGATTGTATCCCGGGAAAAAACTCTCCCTCCCGAGGACTCGTTTCGAGATACGCCGTCTTGGCCATGGCCGACGATCGATCGTCTTGGGAAGGTGGGTGTTTCGGATGTCTTTCTAACCCGCGTACTTCCAAGTACACCTCTATCAGCGGGAAGGTGGCCTTGTGGTCTACTGTTGTGGCAAGTGCCTGAAACACGCACGTTGCTCCTTGACACATACCTTCACGCTTCGTCGACCTCAACTTTGCGGCAAGACCAATGGCACCAGATTCAGCGTTCAAGTCGGCACCGGTCAAAACACACGCGCCAAACCGGAGCACAAAAAGCGCGGCCCAACGGGCAGCAGCGTGTATCCAGTCTCCCTCCGACAGCAAGACGCCAAGGGAGCCAAACGGAATCGAAGAGTTAAAGTGTGAAAGAGCGCGAGGTAACTCACCATTCGCACGATGTCTCCCGCGACGAAGTTCTTCCAGGCGTTGATAATGCTCCTCTCGTACTCACGGCTCACAACACTCATGTCTCCCGTTCTCGCCATTTTCTTAACCTTGGTGACCGACAAATGTGGCAGTGTCAGACGCGAATCCGTTCCGAACATGAACGAATTGTGAAAACAGGGAATCGTCCTCGACAGACGGTCGGGAAGTGGGATCCTTGCCTAGTAAAAGGTCACTCCGCATCAACCTCCTCATCTAAAGGGTTCGTGAAGGTTTCTAGGGCCCAACGCAACCCGACAATACAGTAAAGTGCCACAGCAGTACTTCCTGATCTAGCGCTGGTTCCGTTCAAGCGATGTCAACTTAAATTTTGTTGACATAGACCTAAAAAATGAGCCACATACCTCTCCCTCTGAAAGGTTGGGTTTTGTATCCTTGATGAAGGCTTCCAACATCCGCTGGAGGCTGTCAAAGTGTACCAGGTGTCATTTGGCCATGGCATGCCGGGTCGTGTGTTAGAATGCGGCACAGAGAACGGGTGGCGAGGAGGATAAAGCGGAGGGATCGATCGATCGCGGGTCGATTTTAAGTGCTTCTATTCTAATGTCGCCCTTTTTTTGCGAGGAAGGGATCGAATCCACAAAACGTACCATTCAACGTTCACAAGTACAAGGCACCCGCAAGGAATTAAGGTGAAAGGTTGGTGCCACACACCATAGAAGAAAGGACAGCAACGGCCGCCAACAAAATATCATCCTATCCACCAATGTGTTCATGTCCAGCTTCGATTTGGCGTGATCTCGGTTCAAACGAGTGTTGACGGCTTTCGAACACCGGTATAATAGTTAGTCGACTGAAAAGGATCGTACGTACGTACATTGATGCCCTCCGAATATCGAACGAGTCAAGCAACGCGTACATCCATGAGTTTGGACAAACGAAGGAGATGTCAAGCCAAAGAAGGCATGCATGCATTGTGGTTTCACTGCTCCGACATCGACGTGGAGATAGCTAGCTACAGCTCAACTTTCTCCATCATCGAGAACCATCGAAACAACAGGGACGACCTAGCCTAGGTTTGGATAATTCGTGGTTCCTAGGGCGCTTCGCTTGTTACTCTCGAGTAGAAGAATAAACTCCACTGTCCACAGCAATGCCACAAGATGCAAACCGACACGACACCATTGTCGTACAGCAGTGCTGTACACGTAGAGTGGGATGCACAAAGTCACGGCACCTGAATGAGCTGTCGGCTAAGGCATTGGCGTCCGTCAGCGTCAAGGGCTGATTGTGCACGAGCTCGTTGTAGATGCCCCAGAAGGGTTCCGATATGTGCTCGCGCACAAACTGCCAAAA